TTCTCTGTGTTTCTATCCCCTGCCTCGACCCAGAGGGGGCCCCCAGTAGGGTGAGTACTTATGTATTGGTGTGTGTGTGTGTATCTACATAGATTTAAGTGTTGTTTACAGCCACATTTCCATCTCTGAGTGCTTGTGTGGCAGTTATAAAAAGAGGGAAGATGAGACACACTGTAAAGTGTCCTCAAAGAGAAAGAAAAGGCAGAGTATGACGGAATCTGTTCCAAGAGTATCACAGCAGCACAATAGCTGCTCATCACCAGCAGCCTTGAGCTTCTCAAGGTTTTCTACATCGTAGTAACACCATCACACTTCACATTTCTCTGAATCGACCTAAAGGGATGAATCTGGAACTGTTTTTCTTTTTTTCTTATTCCTTCAAATACTCCAGCTGATTTAGCCAATTCACTAAACAACCTGTAGAAACTATTTCTGCAAGATCCAACCGCAAAGTGACATCTGTTCCAACACAACTCAGTCTGCAGTATCATTAGTTTATATTAAGGATAGAGTTATACAGCTGTCATGGCAGGATGTGATTCAATATGAATGACAGCACCAGCATCTCCAATGTTTTCTCTAACTCAGCATGTTTACAGAGTTGTTCAAACTTTCCTGATTGAAATTTGCCCTGTTTCTGTGTTGGGAAAAAGCAATATTCATTACCAATAAAAACACTGGTCATGAGCAGAAATGATCATAACACAGTTTCAGAGATTGTAATAAAACATGAGCAGTGTGCAAACATTATGGAGTTGAAATTTTGTAGCCAAGCTCCAATATATTTTTTATATATATATATATATATATATATATATATATATATATATATATATATATATATATATATATATATATATATATATATATATATATATATATATATATATATATATATATATATATATATATATATATACAATATTCAGCTAAATACTCTAGGAAAGATGAGTATTAAGGCCAGCCTTGTTCTGAATGCTACAATGAAATCTAAAAATGTTTGAAAAGAACAGATGTTTTCAACATTCTCTCTCTGTTGTCTCAACAAATTCTTGTATAGTTCCGTTTTAACACAATATGGATTGTAACACGCCTGGAAAATATGATTCTCATTAATTTGGGCTGATCTTACCCGAACATTGCAATGTATGGGAGGAATGAGCATGGAGTGAAAAACCACTAGAGAGATTCATATCAACCAGTTTTAACTGTACAAGCCATTAAAACATGTAAGATTATGAAATTAATTTTAAATTTTAAAAGCTTCGCAGAGTTTTATTGTCTCTTTTCTTCTTTGCTGCTCTTGTTTGGATTTCTCCTGTAGGGGCCTCCAAACCCTCAGCGTTCCCTCCCTCCCCACATAGGAGACAAAGAATGACAAGTGGCCTTCACTGAACTTCTTGTCCTTTACCCACATGTACAAACACAACATTAGGGTTTGATCGAATTTCTTTAGCACTGAGCAGCAGCGTAGGCCACATTGTAAATATGCCTGCACAGCTTTATTACCCGTTAATGAGAGTCATATTTTACACAAGGACTGTGTCGAGGGGCAGAGCACTAATTAGCTTTATAAGCTGTCCTGTGTGCTTCTATGGCTACGGCTCTACCTGTGCCTGTGTCTGCATTTCTTGCCGTGTGTATGTGTCTCCCTAAGTGTTTTTTCCACACCATTACCTGAATATCTTATTTGGTTTTGCTTTTATTCATGTTTACATCATGATTAGCTTTCAAAATATGATTATATTTTACTTATTTTGAACCTTCACTTGCAGTTTAATTAACAGGTACTGCTTTTAGAACAAACTCTAATATGCACACTTTCCTGTGTGTATCTGTCTTCCTTCAGAGTAAGTCGGTCTCATCAACAGACAGCCAGCCCACTGAGGAGCACCAAGGACCATCAGGAGGATATTCAGCCTTGCAGGGTGGAGCTGAAGCAAAGAGGAGACGCTGTGATGACAAAGATCCTATCCCTCCACACTCCTATGTATGTGTTATGCATCTTCTGATGCAGTGTTTTTTTTGTTTTTGTTTTTTTTTACTGTTGCTTATCTTTCCATAAGTATGGAAATGTATGAAAAACATAAAGTGCATTTACTATCGATAAGCTTGCATTTGTAAAGTATGTGTAGTTGGATGACAACTCAGAAATTCCTAATCTTCACTGCATCAGGAAATCACCACAGTGTCATTGTACATTGCATTTGAGTGCCCTCAAGTGGTCAAACAAATATGAGCTGAAATAATCTGAAAGAAGTTGATTACATGCCTCAAGCATCTGGCATGCTGAGGTGAGTGAATCTTCATCCATGCAGCTAAATATTAGGCTCTTACTGAGTCATTGTACATTAAACGAGAAGAGTTTATGTTCAAGTTTAAACTAAAAAGACAAGTTTTATTAAAGTTTTGCTCTCATATACTCTTAAATTTTTTTGTACTCATTTAAGCGTAAAACTACAGAGAGTTGTGGATGAAGATGAGCAGTGGTGATCCACACAGGAAAGCAAAGAACACTAAAGTCAAGTTAAATCTTCTTGGCCTAATAGCAACATGCTATATGAATGGTGTGCCACAGTTGTCTCATTTGGCTCTTTATTGAATTACTTATCCTGCAGTATTAAATAAGAAGTTATATATCCAAGGCAACATCTAACAAAGCTTCTGAAACACATGGCAGATATTCTGTGGTAGTAGAAGTAAAAAGGAAGAGTGCTGAATCAGCAGATTCTGCTGAAAAGAATCGAATCTAAGCAAGTCAGAGATCTCTCACCAATCCAAACCTTAACATCTAATATGGTTGCATCATATAAAAACATTCTTGCCTACATCAAATACCTGTTTTGACATCTTAAGAGAAAGCACTGTGATGGTACACACTCTCTAATATATGTGTTCGTAAGATGGTGTGTTTAACAGATTGCCCATGACACTAAAGACCAAGGGGGGGTCTAGAGCCTGTCGTCGTTTAGAGTCGTGTTTGGTTTGGATGGGTCTGCTGGGGCGAAGCGAGCCACCAGAGGGGATGTAATGCCAGAGGAGAGGCAGCCAAGGCAGATAGCTGTAATGAATAAGATGGCTGTGTGTTTGCAGGCTTGAAGATTGATTGACACAAGGAGTTTGTCTGGAGAAGACTGCCTCTAGGAAAATCCATTTGGCATCAACCCCAACATTCCAAATCTTTCCTATTAGCTTGGAGAGCGAAACAAGCAGGGATAGCTTCAGTTCTGCGAATGTCTTTCTGCCTTTCTGTCTGTCTTGATGTTTTTTATACCTTATTTCTTTCTGTCTGCCTGTTGGGCCAATGGATTTTACTTGATGTCTTTTAAGATATTATATACTATTTTGGATTTTTCACAGTTATCATTGTATCTTTCCGTTTACTTTAGTTTCCTCTTTTCCATCCTGTCCATATGTCCATCCTGCAGCTTGTGTTCTTGTTCCAGGAATAGACTGAATGACTTGTCTTGTTTGGGCTCTGCATAATTAGGTACTGATGTCAATTGAAATATCAGACCACAATCACATCAAAGCGTAGTTGCCATGGTGACTAAGTGCCATCATTCTCACTCCCAAAAAAAAAGGAGGAAAAGAGAGAGAGAGAGAGAGATGGCTGGATGAAAAACAAAACAAAAAAAATATGCACACTTAGCTTTACACTATGGATAGTGTAAAGCTAAGTGTGTGCGTCTGCAGATTATCTGAGATAAAAAAAAGGAGTTTGTACAGAAAATATGCTTGGTGTGAATATAAGATACAGTATCTCTGTGTTTAATGTTGCATGGAGGACAGACAGTGCGAGGAAGCAAAAATCACCCAAGGATATTGATTTATTGATCTGTGTGTGGACCTGAGCAACTGTGCATGTCTTCCTTTAATAAAGCTCTCTATTTACAAGTATTGGCCATTGTACCATGGGTGCTGGGAAAAAAAGCCCTTTTTTCCTCTTTCTATCTGCAGGACAGTGATGGAGACAAAAGTGAGGACAATCTTGTGGTGGACGTCTCCAATGAGGTAAGTTGCAGCTCTAGAACTGATAGCCTCATCCTTACAGCATGATCAGCTCACTCCTCCCATCAGCTTTTTCAAGACTTGCAGAAAGATTCAGTATATTGATTCCCCCCACCCAGCACTTATAAACCAGTTTTTGGGTGCAGCAGATGGCTGTTTCATGCTCAAAAATGATTTCTTGATTTTAACGCGCAGAGAAAATTCTCAAGACTTAAGATTGTTTTAGTGCATATCTTTTTGATCACAACTGAGTCTTGAATAGTCTTTATTCCTATATATATACATATATATATATACATATACATACATATATATTTGTATGTATGTATATATGTGTGTATGTATGAATGTATGTAGGAAAAAGGCTGAATCATGTTAGAATGATCTTCTCTATATCTATTTCATCAAATGGTTGAAGTGTTATATTTAGTATTATTTCATGCTTAATATCTATCTAAATAACTGCAGGGATATGACTATTTGTGGTTTTTATATAATCTACCATAACCACAAACGTGTTCATTTAAGTGTTGTTTGTGAAAATCTTTATAGATCTAGGTTATATAATCTTAAAACCTGTAAAAAAAAAAAAAAAGGATCCAAATGTATCACTAATAACTTAAATTAATAAGGCAGCCATGTTAACAATGTTTCGACTTGTGCTGTACATAACTTTACTTTGTCAGATTAGAAATGGGTTGAAGATCCTGTATCTCCTTCAGGCAAAGGTTATTGTCATACACTTAGATGTGCGAGATGTCAGATTTTTTACTTTGATTAATATGTATTTATAAGTAAAAGTTTAATGTTGTTTTCATTTTGTTACATTAAAAAGCAAATAGCTAAACGTTCAAAAAAATGCAAGTGAATATAAAAGCATTCATTGGGTTTGTATAAATGGTGATTTTAGGATATTCGGAACCAACCGGATAATAATTTCATCTTTCTGCACACAGTAGTTAAAGTGTACAGTTTTTGTTTCGCCTGATTTCCTGCTTCGTGTTCTCTGTGAGCGTGTCTGGGGAATGTGAAAGGAGTCAGCAGGTATGCTGCTCGCTCAGCTGTCCGCCTGCAGTTTCCTTGTAAATAGGGAGAACTCTTGTGTAAGCTCATTATCAGCTGCCACTGTTTGTGCTCTCTGCTTGTGAAACACGTTCACGCACACATGCCCACACACCGACACAGCACATTCACAAATGCTTTCCCCATCGCCTCGAATCTATCTCCTCAGAGGGTGCTTTTGTCCTCCTTCTGCACTCACGAGGCCTCTGTTCTTTCCTTATTCTGCTGTCTTCTTTTCTTCCTCCTTTTCCTGTGTGCTCCCCCCTTTGCCACCTCCTCTCATTAGATAACTACAGTCTAGTTTGTTAAATATATGCAAAGCCATATAAACCCTTGGAAAATTTGAGTTTTTTAAATACTTCTCGCTGAGTACCAAAATTTGTCTTGCGTATCTTGATTTCGCCAACAAAAGCAGAATTGGTCTCTTGTGTGCTTTAAAAACTGATGCAGAAGCAGGTAGAAAAATGAATCCAAAAAAATATTGGCTATGAAGCAAAAAGAGAATACTTGTTCGCAATAGAGACTCTACATGCACGTGTGTGTGTGATTGTGCACAGTCTCCAAAATGACTGCTGATCACTGTGACCAACTGTGAGAGCTCTTTTTGATTCAGCTCCCTGTTCTGGAGGAGGCAGCTCTGGCTCATCAGTGGCTCTGCTGATGAAAGCTGCTGTAACATACAACAGTACCTCCAGGTCCACATACAGCTTCATCCACACCAGAGACAGTCGCTGTTTTTTTGTGTTAGTAATTTACACTAAACCCACATTACCTTTAAAGTCCTAGGATTCACTATTATGGTACATCTATGTTGAACATTTATTGCACAGCAAAATATGCAAATGATTTAGGTAGTAATGATGGTTGACATCCACATGGATTCATCTTATAAATGTATTGTCTCACCCACTTTAATCATGTTTTTATAACTTGGCATTTTTTAATATGGGTTATTTTTTATTAAAACTGTTTTGTTTATATAAGTAAAAATGATACAATGCTTTTTTTCATTATTCTCAGCAATTCGTCATATTTTATTTTTTTTACGTGATTTACTGCATGTTGAGAAAAAAGTTGGTTGGTGCATTTTATTATATTAGAATGTGACACCAATTTCAGTTTCTCTGAAAAAAAAATGTAAAAGGGACCAATAAAGTAAAGAAATATTGGCTTGCTAAAAAAGTATGTCCCTGTATTTAATGAACTCACATTCTTTGGCTTTGAAGAAAATGGCAAAAACCGTATTGATGTTGAAATAAAGCAATATTTTTTCCTGATAGTGTTTAGTTGGTCCTTTTTTAACCTGAAATAAAGTGTGCACCAAGCTTGATCAGCAGATATAAAGGTTGTTAAATGCATCCATTGGCAGTAGTGGACAGTAGTAGAGGTGCTGACCATACCTCTCTGATATCCTGACAGAGTCATTGCCATGACTTTTTGGACATGAGTTCTATTTAGGTTTTTGTAGATATGCACGTTAGACTGGAATCAGCTGGATTGTATGAAGATAAAACATGAGATGTTTACACATGGTTTTATACATATCGCATTTCTGCTGCACCACAAGTTTTAAAATCTCTTGCAAAAAAACAACTTTTAGTATTTCTCTATTTACTTTTATGGTAAATAGAGAAAATCATAATCATCAAATTTAACAAAAAAGAAGTGCTTCATTATATAGAATAAAGCTAGGTACTTTTTGAAATTGAGTTACTACAAAAATTTGACTTTTGGATCATAATTTGATGTGCATCTGTACCATAATATGTAGCCTCATTTTCAGGCTCTATACATGGATTGTTGTGGAAAAGCTTTAGCAGTTTTAAATGGAATTCTGCAAACATCAAATGTTGCACTTTATTCTTCTTTGGTTAGATAACTTTTACATTTGACTTGTTTTGCACAGACTGTCAGAAATGTTAAAAATTGGACCATTTTGCGCAGCTTTACTGCTGTTTTATAATGGAGAGGGATAATCAGCCTTTGAAACCCACCCACTCATGGTAACGATATATATATATATATATATATATATATATATATATATATATATATAGTGAAATATAAAATATATATTATAATATAAATACAGAGTTCTATCTTCCCAGCTGTATTAATCTGTTTAGAAATTAGTCGCTTTAGAAAGTTGATCAGGCAGTTTAGTCAGCTTAATGTCCAGTATTGCTTTAAACTCACAATAGATCCAAGTTGATTAAAAATCAAAATTTCTTCTTGGTTAAATCAACAAGATGTCAACTTTGATATTAATTTCATATCTTACTTTGTAATTTAGGAGCCTAACTCTCCCACCGGCAGCCCGTCTCATTCCCCTCATGGGAACGGGCTGGACCGGGCCCCGACCCTGAGGAAAGAGCTGCCTGGTTCCTCGAGCACAGGTGAGGCACCTTCCACGCCAAACCCACGCAGCCCTACCCCAGGGAAGGCCAAGGACCCTGCCCAGGTGAGATATAGCTCAGAGAGCACCTGCACTCAGCTGTTGTCCTAAAGTGCTGTATTTTGTGTGTTAATGTGTAGTTAATGAAATTCATAATTTTCTTTGATGGTAGAAATACATTTATTTCACAAAAGGGTTCTGTATTATTATTTGTCATACAAAATGTCCTTGTATTTTGCTTTAGCAAAACAGGAAATTGTTTTTTTTTTTTTCAAACCATAGCAATTATACAGAAATGTTTCTGCTTAACTTCTCACCTGCACTTCAATGAGGTATGTGACCTAAATCACTCTGATGAGAGTGTTAATGACCCATCAGAACCCCCTAATGACCATTAACCCCCACCAGGTGACCTCCATGGCCAATGCAATAGGCCACCTTTTGTTCCCCCTAATTCTTTGTTCCACCTACAGTATAATAATCTCAGTGCTCCTTCCAGTAGTTAGAACTGAAGAAGCCTGTTGGATGAGAGCCGAAATGTCTTCTAGGAAACTTCACGTCCCGTTGCCTAAACTGAACCTTTCAAGCTTGATTATGACCTAGATGACTGAGAATCTCCACAGATTTGAAACCTCTATTAAACTTAATCCAGCAATACTTATTAATATGTTTTAAGTGTCGTGTTAGGACAGCTTCAGCTTTAGATAAGGACATTCCTTGGTTATTTTGATTGTTTGATGTCCCCACAGATGGATAAATCCCAGTCTCCACTGTCTAAGTCTGGCACCCCGTCCCCATCCCACCGTGAGGCCCTTACCCCAGGATCAACAGGAGCCCCTGGAGCTCCAGGCCCCAGCACCTCCTGCCTTCGCCTTGTCAGCAAAGCAGCAACAAGTGCTGACCCATTAGGTAAGAATCATCAAGTAGAAACTCCAAACTAAAACCTGCCGGTGATATTAGAACAGAAAAAACAACAACAACAAAATAAAAACACTAAAACAAGCAAGTATCAAATACACACCTAATATTTGGAATGTACATATATCTTATTATATAGTAAAAAATTGTAATACAATATTTTTCAAATGGATCCGCATTAACAGGTCGGAACTTTGGTGAGATGGACCCAGCCTGTCTTCTATCTCATGTTATTCCTCATCTATGACACAATGATACATGATTTACGTGCTTCTGGATGCTGTGTCCTTTGTTCAACACTGAACTTTTGTTTCTTGTTCTCCTACTAGATTATTAACATCTGCTCCAGTCTCTAACAGCTTTTCTTAAATTATTGACCTGTATGTAGCTTCATCAGTTTCATATCAACTCTTACCAGCTCCTATGCCTTTGCTCAAACATTGAATCTCCACAGAATGATGCTGCCATCCCCGTGTTTTACAATGGGATGATATGCTGTCCTCTCAGCACAATCTTCCACCTGAGCTGTGGGTTTCTGCAGCTAACCCCTGGATGATTTTAGGTGCTGTACGATATTATTGCAACCTTGTCAGTGGACTTGATTGGCCAGGTCCTATTAGATTGAACGTGGTCCCATATTCTCCTGAGAACTGATAGAGCTGTGCTCTGGGAAGTGTTCAAAGCTTGGGATATTTGTTTTTTTTTTTATCAAATCCCTCTTCAAACTTCCCCACAACTTTATCCCTGCTGTGTTCCCTGATCTGGATGATGCAGTTTGTTTTCCAGTAAACTGTTAAAGCCTTCTCAGAACAGCTGGATTTAGCCCGTGATTAAAATACACACAAGTACCATTTATTTGCTAAATCTTATTGAAGGCTACAGTTCTCAAGCTTTTATATCTTAATTTTCAGAATATTTTTTTAATTTCCCTCTATTTCCTCGTTATGCACAACTTTCTGTTGGTTTTGTATATAAAATATAGCTTCTTTTCCCATGCACTGTATGAAGGAGGAACTATTTTATTCTTCTCTGCCCTCTGTGACTGTGTTTGTATGCTACATGTGGTTCCCTGTACCTTCAACCGCTCCCTCCTCTTTCCCTGCTTCCCCAGCTCTCCGCAGTCCCATGTCTGTGCCCCCTGGTTCATACCCGGCTCATTTTGGCGTGGTGTCCCACGCAGGGCTGAACGGGGAGCTGGCCAGCCCCGGGGGATTTGGAGGAGCTCTGACGCTCTCTCCGCAGATCAGCGCCGCTGCCGGTGCCTACTCCCGTAGCCCCATGGTGAGCAAAAAGACCAAATTATTATTTTCTGTCAAGGTTTGATTTATGATTCAGATCCAGCCTTCCCGACTTTCTCGGTTCTGCTGAAATATTTGATGAATCGTCTCTGCATTGTCAGTGTCCATGCAGTGCATTCATTATACTCTCAAAGTTGTCATGTTTACACTGTCTAATCAAGTTTCTTAGAGAGAAACAGTTGTAAGGAAGACAAAGTTTAGGAGTGTTAGCCTCTGACAGGATGTTTTCCTATTTATCATTCCTACAGTCATTCTTAACCGACTGTATTATATTTCTGAGCAGTTCAAATGAGCTCAAGTTACTTTCCTAATTTGGTCAAATGGCCAGTTAGTAATGCTGTGGTAAATATTTTTAATCTATTGAAATAACTTTTGGTGCTTTCCCCCTCCACCATCTAGGTGGCATTTGACTCTCGGTCTCACTTAAGAACACAGGGGCTGTCCTCCTCCCTTCCTGGCTCCTCTGGTGGCAAACCGTAAGTATATGTTCACATTATTTAAAAGCTTAGATGTAAGCACGCTGAATAAACTTAAACTCCAACTAAGCAGAGGCAAAGCAGAGCAAACAGAAAACAATGAATCAACATGTTTTAAATTCTTTTACTGGAAGCTAATTTTATTCAACAATTGTTGGCTTCTGTCGTAAATAATGGCAGAAGGCAGAACAAGTAAAAAAAATGCATTAAAAAGCATTAAATTTCCTTTGCTCACACGTTGCTGCACACTGTCAGTCAAGCAGTGATGGGACTAACGGCGTTGAAAGTAACGGCGTTACTAACGCCGTTACCTTGTTTTAGTAACGAGTAATCTAACTAATTACTTTGACTGTAACTATAACGCAGTTACCATTGCAGGCACCCCGTTACTGCGCGTTACTTAGGTCGCGCAATGAACCTTTTTTCATGATAGGACTCGTGCGCAGCTGCGTGAAGCTGACACCCCACCCACGTCAAAAAACTCTGCAAATAGACTGAATGGTTAGTGCAACGTTAGTGCAGATTTGTGCAGAAAAAAATATTGTTTGTGCTACTTTTGTTTAAGAGATATTAAAGATTTATTTTAGGTCATCCAGAGGTGCGCGCCTTGTCATGAGAGAGGGGAGGACGAGATTCCGTCTGTCAGTTGAATAGGTGGGTGTTTCTGCTGGCGGGTGTTAACGTACAGCACACACAGAGAGATGGAGAGTGAGGATGACTCCAGCAGCAAAACAGCGTTTTCCACATGGAAATACCGGTGTTACGTAGAGCTGCGTTTCCCCATCACATAACGGTTTCCTCTGCATCTCCACACAGCGCAGGCGGCACGAGTCACCGCGCAAGCGACAGGAAACGCGCATGCTCGCTAAAGGCGCGCAACAGTCGCTCTGTGCTCGCGCCACAGGAGAAGTATGGAGAGCGTGAACGATCAAATGAACCTGACAACAGCCAGAAATGATAGCCTATATGGAGAAAGGGAGAAATCTGGATGGATGGATGGATGGATGGATGGATGGATGGATGGATGGATGGATGGATGGATGGATGGATGGATGGATGGATGGATGGATGGATGGATGGATGGATGGATGGATGGATGGATGGATGGATGCTCTGCCTTCTCAACCTACTGTATTTTTTATTTTAAACATTATTTGATGGCCTTTGTGGCAGGGATGGAGATCCATATTTTATGTCACACACAGAGTATACATCTAGATAGATAGATAGATAGATAGATAGATAGATAGATAGATAGATAGATAGATAGATAGATAGATAGATAGATAGATAGATAGATAGATAGATAGATAGATAGATAGATAGATAGATGTTGCAGTATCTATAACAACCCAAACACACAGGATTTCAGAATTAGACATCCCCAGTTATTAATTTCATATACTCACCAGATCTGAATGTCCTGTTATAAAACTTCACATCGCGTTCCCCCTGATGTCATTTACGTTGAGTTGCAATAAATGCTAAACTGTCTGCAGGTTCTTGTCTTTGTCGTCCTCTCTATTCAGCTGGCTTTGGAAACACACGGCGAGAAGGTGGGGGCTGGGTGGTGAGGTTTACGGGGGCGAGAAACGCAAAAGTAACGCAATAGTTACTTTTACTAGTAACTAGTTACTTTTATTGTGGAGTAACTCAGTTAGTAACTCAGTTACTTTTTGGGAGAAGTAACTAGTAACTATAACTAATTACTTTTTCAAAGTAACGTGCCCAACACTGCAGTCAAGTGGCTGAAAGAGTCTGACATGGTAACATGTTGATTTTCATGCTGTCAAAGCTATTTGCTAATGCCGCAGTGGTCTGTTGCCCTCTAGCTTTTATTTGAACGTGTGAAGTTAAGTTAAGCTTTGTTCCAGAATTGCTGCTGCTTTAACCGCTGCAAGCGAGGGGTGATGTTTAACAGATCATGTTTGAAAAAATTTGAATTATAGAGAAAGACATTGTGCACTTGTCTTAGTAAAAGTGTAAAGAATGGCAGCCGTTAGGATTTTATTCAGTACAGTTATGTTATCTTTGTTTCAAAAGGCTTTTTGTCTGTAACCTGAATACAGATACAATTGGATGATCAAATGAAACACAGTAATGCTAAAGGTGATCTTCCACTGCAACCCAGGGTGTTAGTAGACATCCTTTTATCTGTAGGCATGTGTGACATAACAGGACTAACTTGCTTAAATGACCACAAAACTGAATACAGATGAAGGATTCTGAATAAGATGCACATTCCCTAACTCATTTTAAAGAAATGTAATTAACTCACCCAGGGCAGAATAGAACTTTAGTTGGTCCTTTGTCCCAATATCTTTATTTTCCATCTTTGGATAGGTGCTTAAAGTAGTCTTGTTTAATATGGGTGGAAAAATTACACATTTTCCTGCTGCTATGCCACCTGCCCACTATTGGTCGCCAAGTTAAAGCAATTGTTTTGCCCATCAGGGTAACCTAACTCCAGCAGCCATTTGGCGAGAAGCGGGGAACACCCTTGACAGGTCGCCAGTCCATTACAGGGCAAAACGGACACGCAGGAAAAACGCATGCAGGCGCATTCATAGGAACAATTAAGACAGACCAATTAACCTCACAGACATGCTGTCAGTCCGTGGGAAGTGCCTGTGTTACCTGCAGAGAATCCTCACAGATCCACAGGGAGAACATGTGAAACACAAAAAGACTATAAGACGGAATTCTAACCCTGGATCTTCTTGCTGCAAGGCTAAAAGAATGCAACCCTGAAATTCTTCAAGCTGCTCTATTGATCATTCTGGTAACAAAGTGAAAAATAAAATAGCCATCTTTACACCTGCTGACCAGCAGTGCACAGAAACAGATCAGGGAGTGAGGTGGTTAAATAACTCTAAGATTTGACACCGTCTGTGGTGATTCAGTAAAATTACATTAAAAAGTTGAAACAGAGTGATGGAAAGTTTTTGTGGTTTTAAAAATTTCAAAGCTTTTTACTTTGATATCAATAAGCTGCCCTGGAGAAGGAGCATGCATGTCTATAACACATTTGGCTGCAGGCTGGATGTCAGAGCAGATAGCCTGAGAAATGTTGAGAGCGAAACCCATATTTACAGGAGCAGATGTTTCATAGTTTCTATAAAGATGCAAGTAAAAGTAAAAGCTCTTTCACCTGTATGCTGACAGCATGCTGGGTTTTCTAGGGTTAATGACAACTTTGATAGATCATCGGGATACTATCACATGTGCTGTATGCTGATGAAGGTTCTCAGTTATCCAGGTCATAGTCATTCCGTAAAAATTCAAAAAATATCCACTGGACTTGGTTTCCAAGATTTAAATATTTGAATTGAGAAAGCTTCTTGGAGACATGGCGAAACGTCTTCAAATCTTGGAAACCAAGTCCAGTGGATATTTTTTGAATTTTTACGGAATATCACATGTGCTGTTTTTTTAAACATTTACCACATTTACAGACAGTCTTTAAATTCTTTACATAAAAAAAGATTGTTGTTCTTAAATGTAAATTCATAGTGAAACTAACTTTTCCATTTTCAGAGTCAAATCTGTCTTTCCTTGTAGTATGCTGAATAAAAAAAATGTCAGTCTAAATTTAAGAAATGTTTATGCATATAAGGAAGCATGTGCCACATTCCTGATGTTAAACTTAAAACTTCCTGTAAGCTTGTTTTCTGAGCGACCACTAAAAGCACAGTTACACTTTTTATGTTGTCTTTCCAGAAACAGACATTGTGATATTATTCCTGTGTCTTGCAGAGCAGCAATTCATTCTTGTGCTGCTAATTTAAAATCCTAAAACAGGCCTGGCCTCCTGCCACTACACTATTGATCGGCCATTAGCAGTCCCACATAGCCTCTGCACCTCATACAATCTGCCATTATGCATTTGCGCCCACAGCTGCTCTGAGCTCACTCGTTTGCCCAAATTTGAGCAAATATAAGAGTTTGCAACTTTCACTCTGTAAGGTTTGTGCATTTAAGTGTTGACCTTTGCTTTCATGTGCTCATTGATCGATTGATTTCTTCTACTTTCTTGATGCATTTTACTCTAGTCTCTATCACATCTTTGTTCTTTTTTGTTTGTTCCATCCTAAAGAATAGTGTTTTCAGTTTTCCTTTTCCTATTCATCTTCCCAGAGCCTACTCCTTTCATGTCAGCGCAGACGGCCAGATGCAGCCGGTGCCGTTCCCCCCTGATGCCCTCCTGGGCCCGGGGATCCCACGTCATGCCCGTCAGATCCACACACTGAGCCACGGAGAGGTAGTGTGCGCCGTCACAATCAGCACCTCCACTCGTCACGTCTACACAGGAGGAAAGGGCTGCGTCAAGGTGTGGGACATCAGCCAGCAGGGAAGCAAGAGCCCCATGGCCCAGCTGGACTGTTTGGTGAGACATGATGAATGAGGGGTGAAATCTTTTAGAAAACGGTCCTTAGATTGATAGTATTTTTGAAACAAAAATAAAAGGAAGAAGTAAGAGAGACTCTTCTTTCAGATTTTAAAGATTTCTTGGATTAGCAACCTTAAAACATAATATTTCTGGTCTTTTAATATAGCTGTGTAGAATAAAAGCCATTCCATCATGTGAATGTTCATTTCCAACCACTCGCATGGTTTCCTTTTTTCTTTAGAGTCTCTCCTCTACAGCTCTTTACAGAAACTTTTAAATCAAGTTAACACATATTCATGCTCTACCTGAACTTCGCAATTCATTGATTATTTGGAAGGATTTAGATTTTTCTCAACACTGATGCTTCTGATAGAGACATTACAAATGCAGTGCAATGACCTCCCCCTCTTATGTGTGTGTTTCACTGAAACAGAACTGTCATCCCCATTTAATTTTATATCAGAAATAACACTCTGGGAATGATTTTACTGGAAGAAATATAAACATTTGTAATTTTGCAGAATGTTTAAGAGATTTATTTTTTGTACTAGATAATGTAACCTTTTTTTCTTATACCTTAATGAATCAGAACAGGGATAACTACATCCGTTCCTGTAAAATCCTCCCCGATGGTCGAACCCTGATCGTTGGAGGCGAGGCCAGCACTCTGTCCATCTGGGATTTGGCCACACCGACTCCACGCATCAAGGCGGAGCTGACGTCGTCTGCTCCAGCCTGCTACGCCCTGGCCATTTCACCGGACAATAAGGTCTGCTTCTCCTGCTGCAGCGACGGCAACATTGTCGTCTGGGACCTGCACAACCAGACCCTGGTCAGGTATTGTTGAAGATGAATTAAAATACTTCAGTTTGAATATGAATGTCATTGAAGAGGCTAAAACATAGAGGTATGATCATAACATAAAGAAGGAATGCAGATAAATGTGCTTTGAAGAACAGAAAGACATTAAAACAACCAGGTTTGGCATGTCAGGAAGGGGGGGGGGACCGTGCTGAGGTAAGGCTCACAAGAAGTGCCAGGAAAAAAAAAAGGATCATGTGTGGGTGGGCTTAGGGCAGTAAGTGCTGCAGGGAGAGAGGGTATGAAATATATTCATTCTGACACCTCTGGCAGAAGAGAAGCAAAGAAACAGTCTGCAAGATTTCTGTGTACGCAGGTGTGTGTTTTGTGTGTGTGTGTTGGTATGTTTTATATTCTCTCACGAGCTTGTGTGTGCCGTCTCTGCAGGCAGTTCCAGGGCCACACAGACGGAGCAAGCTGCATCGACATCTCCAATGATGGCACCAAGCTCTGGACAGGAGGTCTGGACAACACGGTCCGCTGCTGGGACCTCAGAGAGGGCCGGCAGCTGCAGCAGCATGACTTCACCTCACAGGTAAAAAACAACAACAAAGAAACTCAGATATTCATGCACAAAAAAACATAAAACTTCACAAACAAAGCAACTTTAGTTATTTATAAGAGGCGTTCAGATGAACGTCTAAATGTATGCAGAAAATAGAACTTTCCCATGCTGTACGGAAATGTTTTAGGAGAAAGAAAAGGGAAAACATTTCATCAAAATAAATCTTTTTTAACCTTTGATCATGTTGTGGGATTTGTCTAGCAGTCTGTAGCACAGGAGAGAGAACAAGTAAAACGGACCGGGACTATTTCAGATCTGGTTTTGTAAAGCTTTAAACCACTGATTAATAGAAATATGGCTCAACCCCTGATCAGTCCTGCTTAGCTTAGTAGGAAACATATTCATCTAAGGGTCTCAGAGGCCATCTTTTGAAAATACCATCAGCCATGGGTTGTTAGCCAAAAGGTTAACATTACTAATGCAGCACCCTATTCCTTAGAAAACTTAAATCTTACATGTAGACTGAAAAGTTTTTCAATATTTCCATAGCTGATATTTGCCATAGTAAGCGGAGGATAAAAAATGAAAAGGTTGAAACAAATCACCATGACCCTAATTGATCTAATTTGTTTCTATTCCAGTTTTCTCTTGGAGATTTGCTCTCTTCTTTTGCAAAAACTTGACTACTTTTGACTTAACTTTTAGTCTCAACGTTTAGCTCTTTTCAGACAAGCATACCTTCCTGCAGCCTCAGGCACAGTTGCCAACTTGTTACTTTTATTACCAAATTTTCAGACCCCTTTTTTCCCAACAAAGTGACCAATCTAGTGACTTTTTTTTCTATGTTGTTGGAAATTCTTTAGACAAAGGTGAAAGCACCGTGCAAAGCTTTTCCCTGCCCCCACCCTGTCTTCTCTAATATTTCCACCTCCATCTCCTATTTCCCAGATCTTTTCTCTGGGCTACTGCCCCACAGGCGAGTGGCTGGCTGTAGGGATGGAGAGCAGCAACGTGGAAGTCCTGCATGTCTCCAAACCCGACAAGTACCAGCTGCACCTCCATGAGAGCTGCGTCCTCTCCCTCAAGTTTGCATACTGTGGTGCGCACAAAAACACATCCCTTTTTTATTTTCTTTAAATCCTGCACTTTTGCTGCCTTGTAGATTTTAAAGAACAGCTTGGACATCAGCCCTCTCTGTACTCTTGGTAACACACTGTGCTGTGTTTACTCGCTATTTCAGGAAAGTGGTTCGTCAGCACAGGCAAAGACAATCTGTTGAATGCATGGAGGACACCATATGGAGCAAGCATTTTCCAGGTGAGAGTTAAGCTCTGAGGCTGTATGTGATGTATACAAGTTAGATACTTTGCTTATTTGGACTCTACATTTAGTTCTTCATAATGGAAAATGGTTAGGGTTCTTACATTTTTTGGTGACATGCATATCAATCAGCATATATGCACAGATGCAAAAGAGAATTAACATTTTAAATCCAAAAGAAAACATGCAGGATGCCACACATGAACAAACACGCACAAACCTGTGTTGTAATTCCACCTTGTCCAGGTGCTGCAGTATCTTCAGCTGAGCCAATTCATCTGGGTATGAATGAAACAAAAAAGGGAGATGATTTTCATGTGTGTTTGTATGTGTGCTGAGCAGTGTGGCTGTCATATTTGTGTAATCTACCGTGGGCAGCAGGGTTGGCGGCTCCTGTCTCTTTCTGGACTGAGAGTAGAAGACGGGCTATCTCACTTTGTTATCCAAATGCCAAACTCTGCTCCTGCCAAACAGCTCCCTCCTCAGCATGTTATACAGAGCAATTCCCTCCTCCCCCGCCTTCTTCCTGCTTAATGCTGTCCTTTTCTGTTTCTGTCTCCTTGTGTCTCTTTGAGTCACACTCTTCTTTCTCCTGGTAGTAATTGTTTTTAATATTTCACTTTGAATTTTCTCCCCAAGTTTCTTTAAACAATGTCTTGATAGATTTTTACCCCCCATCTTATTATAAATCCATTTTTGTTGCTTTTTTTTATTACTTTACTTCATCCCTTTTTCTTTTACTTTTCAGTTTTGGTATTGGTGAAGTTTTCAATTTTAACTCAAGACAGCTCTCAAAAAGCAGATTTTATCAACCAAAGCTGCTTAATCTCTTTGTTTCCACAATTTTGAGATTGTTTCAATGCTATGTAATAAGTCGAGTAACCTACGTTTAATTAGCCCCCTATAGTTTGCGTTCTACGCTTTTAGTTTTTTGCTTTTTCACTGGTGCACAATATTTGGTTGATTATCTTACTTTAACTCTAAATAAAATACATTAGCCCACTCATTTCTATTGTTCTTTTGTTGTAAATAGTTTGTAAAACGTTTTCCTTCCATTTTATTATTTGGAGGCATTTTTCCACCCAGTAACATGGTGGCTAATAAAAATTAGCTTAAAGCATTGTAGACACTTAAAAAAAAACTTTTAACCAAGTTCTGCTGCCTATCAAAGATTTACAACTGAACATATTGCTTAAGGAATTGATAGTCAACATGAAAAGCTGGAAATGACTTCTATTTTAATTGAAGCAAGGGATCAGAAAGTTGTATTTATTATATAATCCAGTAGGGGGTGTGAGATCTGTTGTGCTAAAAGCATGACTGTATTAAAAAGGTTTATTTTGTGATTAATACTGCAGGGTGTGTAATTATTTATAATAACGTTTGTTACTAAATATCACAAATAAACTGCTGTAATCAAATTCAGGAGTTAAGGTCTGTGTGGCTATGTAATATTTGGAATATCAATTTGGAGTCTGTAAGTCCCATCTCTAGCGTATATACTCAAAATTCTTATATACGGTAATAACAAATTATTTATTCGGAGTAATTTAGACAGGAAGTATCGGAGCCAATATTAACTCAGTCACCATGCAGAATGCTTCGCGGTTAAAAACTTTTTATCCCTCCTTAGACACACTATCCCCCATGGGGATGCATGGTAGTAGCAGCATCATGCTGTGGGTATTTTATTTTTTTCCAGCATATATTAAAAAGTTGGTCTTTTGATGGGATGATGGGAAGTTGAATGAACCTGAATACAGGTCAAACCTATGGTGGTCAGAAGTATTAGCCTGTAGGGACAGAGGGGGTTTAGATATAAAATAATGAATCGTGGGTCTGAATCCATATCAAATAAACTTTATCTTTGCTTTCCAAAAAAAAATGTGTGCAAGTTCGACATAACTTTCTTTAAATTGATGGAAAAGCATCATCTGGTACATTTCTAAAGACATAAGTCTTCTCCATTTCATACAAATGTGTTTGTATTCTCTTTAACAACTGTTAGAAACGTAAACATTTAGGTCTAATGTTTTTCTTTTCTTTTCAAATTTCTCTTTGCTTTTTTCTTTGAAACTGTCAGTACATTTTTTTCCCTCCTGGCCTTCTCTATTCCCGCCTTCTGCTGTCTTGATCTAATATGAGGATTCCTGTGTGAGACGCCCTCTCCCTGTGCACTGACGATTGACGGCTCCAACGTGCATGTAGCAGGAGAGGGTGAAAGAGTGTAGAGAGTCAGCAGGAGTGAGGAGAATCAGTGATGAATATAGAGAGAATGACTGATGATGGAGCAGTTTTAGATTACCACAAACAAGGTGCACATAGGAAAAGGAGGCCATGTGTGTTTCGGCAGTTTGAGGAAGCCTCTAGTGTTCTTTTGATGATTGAACCTGATTTTAGAGAGGCAGCATTTTGCTAGGAAGGAGGAAAAAAACAGCAGACAAAAAAAGGCAGTATCCTGGAGCTCCAGAGCTTTTCTGTTTGGAGATAATTGCCAACTGTTTTGATATGCAAATATGTCTCATGTGATAGAGGATTAAGTGATGAGTCATGTTTAATTCTTCCCTAACATTTCTTTCTCTTTTCTTTGTTTTTCTCCATCTGTCACCATCCCTCGAAAATGCTCACAGTCCAAGGAGTCGTCGTCTGTGCTGAGCTGCGACGTCTCCCCAGACGACAAATACATAGTGACGGGCTCTGGGGACAAGAAGGCCACTGTGTACGAAGTTGTGTATTAATGAATAGGAGGACAGAGGAGAAAAAACAGGTTGGGAGGGGATCTTTTTTATTATTTTGAGTGGGAGGTTATGCATCCACCCCACCCCATCCCGTATATTATCAACACCACCATCCGCCTTTATCTTCTTGAATCATCACTATGCCCCCTTGTTTTGCTGTAATATAAGATGCTATAGTTGTTCCCAGATGTCTCCACACCCTCCCCTTCCTCCACGAGGTTTAAGCTCATTGAAAGAGGCGTGATAACTGAGAGTGAGGCAGAATGAGAAAGAGCAAGATAAGGAAGACAAAGGGAAAAAGGTGGTGGAGTGTAAAGATAAAGTTGTGAGGAGAAAGGGGGGAGAAATGAGTAGAGGGAGCGATAGTGCGGAAGGAAGAGAAATTAAATGGGGGGAGGGGGTAATTAAGGCTGTTTCCTGATTAAGAGCTCAGTGGAAGGGAGGCCCCCGGAGGAGGTGCGGAGCGGCACTGTGGGAGTGCCAGCCAGGAGCACTGATACCACACAATCGATTCATTAGCCAGACAGTGGAGGCCTTAATGAGGCTGACGCTGAGGCTCTGTCTCCCAAGCGAGAGGTGTCAGGAGCCAGGGAGCAATGACGACGCGAGATGCTGCGGATTTCCACATAAACTGACATGAAAACCTGCTCGACGCACAGAGCCGAGAGTACAAACACTCAGTTACATCCCCCCTGCCGCTTGAGGTAAACTTATGATGGGGAGGAAAAACACACAACACACCGAGCTCCCAATTAAACATTCATCCCAATGCCTTGCTTCATCTTTCTGCTTAATATCTATTTTATTTTGGTCTGACAAAGGCAGCAGCCTAATGAGCAGGGGAGTCGATGGGATTCTCCCAGGGCCCGGAGACATAAACACAACATCAGCCGATCCGTAGCCTCTAATTCCTCCGGATTGTACTCCTGACATCCAGCGCCATGCTTACTCTCATTAAAAGGCACTGTCAGCTAGATGAAGTAGCAGCAAACCAAGCTCACTGTGAGGCACACTAGAGGGCGAATTAACACCATGCGTTTACACCATCATCAGCAGCTAACAAAGCAGTGACTAATCAGATTCTGTTTAAATTTAAAGCAACTAGTCACTGTTTTCATTTCCACGCAATTCCTCATCTCTATTTCTACCTTGTTATATAACCAATTATTATTTTTTTAACTAGACTAAACACCTTAAGGACATTCAGAAGTCTAAATGCCTGCACCATTCTGTCTGTAAGCCTTGTGGAAATTGGCTAAGTCCACAAAATGAAAGACTCTTTTATCTGAGTGCAGCACACTGTGTCCAACAAGTGCTGCTAAGATCACCAATTAGAATGCTGTATCTTGTTTGTATGATCCTTGGAAATGCCAGAGTGTGAAAATAAATTACCACTCTTACATGGTTTGGAACGGTTGCCTTGACAACCTGTGGCATTGCAGGAAGTTTGTGGTTGTGTCCGAAAAACAACTCGGCTCAAAATTAACCTCTTTTTCTGTTTTAAATAAGCCCTCAATGTGCTTTTTGTTGAATTTTAAAAAAATAGATCCTGTATCTTAGACTGAAGGGGAGACGGGTCATTTATGGATTTAGATTTTTAAAATTGAATCTGGGCTGGCGATGGTGAGCAAGTCCAAAAATCCCATTAGCATCTTTAGCAGCTCAGGATCCAATCTATTACAGCCTATTTTGTAGAATTATCCTGTCGTGGGCTACTTTACAGTATCACCAAAAATTTCTAGAACATAAACATCAGGATTGGAACTTTGGAAATGCTCTTCTAATTGGTTGCAGAATGATTTAGCATTTCAGTCACAGCACTGAGGAGCTTCTTAAAGGAATAGTACACCCAAAACATGATTAGCCTTCATTTTCTACTCACCCCCATGCTGAACAACAATCTGGAGTACTTTTTTGATATCTCAAATGCATCTGGAGATCTGGGAGGCTTCTTGCTGTCTGCTGACATTCAAATAATGGAGGTCTATGGTGCCCGAGACAGAAAGGTCCATAAAAGTCCACAAAAAACGTGTCAATATTCCTCCATACTGCTCGTTCAATGTATTCCAAGTGTCCTGAGTGGGTAGCATCCAGAATTTACTCGAAACGAAGTCATTTAGAATGTTTTTAGAGCATAAACAGTAGTGTATAGGATTTCCTGAAAGCGCGCACATGCGCGTTCACGACGCTACGGAAGGCGGCAGACCAAACCAGATGAAAGTGAGCATTCAGTGTCTGCTCTGCCAATAATGCAAGCGTAGAAGAACAAATGTGCTGTTTACCTGTGCAAAGAAAGAAACAACGAAAGAAAAATGTCTGAGGACTTCAGTGTTGAGGAAGAGCATGAGTTCTTTGCCGAGCTGAATGCGCTGGTTTGGTCTGCCGGCTTCCGTAGCGTCGTGAACGCGCAGGTGCGCGCTTTCAGGAAATCCTATACACTACTGTTTATGCTCTAAAAACATTCTAAATGACTTCGTTTCGAGTAAATTCTGGATGTTACCCACTCAGAACACTTGGAATACATTGGACGAGCAGTATGGAGGAATATTGACACGTTTTTTGTGGACTTTTATGGACCTTTCTGTCTCGGGCACAATAGACCTCCATTATTTGAATGTCAGCAGACAGCAAGAAGCCTCCCAGATCTCCAGATGCATTTGAGGTATCAAAAAAGTACTCCAGAGTGTTGTTCAGCATGGGGGTGAGTAGAAAATGAAGGCTAATCATGTTTTGGGTGTACTATTCCTTTAAGAACATAAGGGATTGCTGAAGAGTCAATGAGTCGATGCAATCAACAGGTTTACCTTAGATAGAAAACTTTGAATCAATTTGACTGTATGATCTGGTGAACTGTAAAGTGCCTTGAGATGACATGTGTTGTTAATTGGTGCTATATAGATAAACTGAATTGAATGTTTCAGGAGCAGAGGCTCGTTTCACAAAGCAAGTTTAACAAATTCAGACTCAAATCCTCAAGTCTGAATTGATCTAGACTAAGGTTGAAAACTTTCACAAAAGCTGCTGATTATAATCAACTCTGGGTAAGTCCACTTAGAGTTGACTACGGGCGCAACAAGTATGAGAAGCCAAAAGTTGAGCTCCAAATCAATTTGTCACCATGACAACGAGCAACTGGAAGTGCCTATGTCATAACACCGGAACTAGAGATTCAGGGATGCAGAATTGAAAAAAATATTGGACGGTGCTTAAAAGAAAGAGCAACAGCGCTATAGCTGCAAAAGAGAGGTAGATGGTATAGAAGCTTCCTGCAGGAGTTTATGCGGAAGCTGATATGAAGGCTAATTTGACATTTATTAATGGTACTCTCTTTGTGTTGCTCCATTTGTAGATCACTGAAATAGGATTCCTCCTGTTCAAAATAACATTCCTAGTCAGAACTGTAACAGCAGGTTTTCTACATTACATTTTTGACAGTAGCAACTGAATTTCAGAAATTCAGTTGCAAAATAACAAAATTGTACTATTAACAATTAGATTTTATATAGGCCTACCAAAAATGTTTACACATTTTAAGTAGTCATTTTGAATCAGCTTGACTGAATATTTATTGATATCTAAAATCAATTTCTTTCTAATCAATTTAATATAAATTATGACCAGTAACGATAGGAGATCTGAAATTCATAGGACCTGTGCATCACCTCATGGGGTTCCTCCTCATTTCAATCTATTTTATATTAGACAGAAATAACTGGCTGTTTTACTTTAATAGGTTAGCTTTAGGGAGAAGCTAACTAAGGTGACAGAGATTGAGTAAACTATCCTTGTGAAACAGTTTCCCTGATTTCAGGCTTAGAAACCTTAGAGGTTTTAGTAAACCTGCTTTGTGAAACGGGCCACTGTTGTGGGGGATTTAATTTGTACTTTAAAAAAAACTTTTATTTAATTGGTGGCTCACAGACGGCTGTACAACCTATTTTTATGAATGCACTCCTTGAGGATTTCAATACATACTATTTTAGAATTATATTTGTAATAGTAGCATTGACCACAATTTCACATTGTTTTACCTGGGCCACATAATATAAGAAAATTGAGGCATGAAAAGACAAAACACAGCTGAGATGAGATGTAAACATCTGTTTTCAAACCATTAGGAGGGACACAACCACTTCTTCTTTAGTGTCAAGCAAATGATTTTGAAGGGCTTTAAATTTTGAGTTTTGATTTCACAATGCTGCAAACATAACCATAGCGCTGACTTTTTAAAAGGATGGCTTAGCTGTAATCAGTTCCAGTATGTGCTAAAAGCTAACCACTGTTACCATACAGCTTTTTATGGTAATAACTTTTACGTCCAGATATAACCTTTAGGTCAACGTATTAAAAATCATTCTTATGAGACTTATTTTACTTTTCAATTTTTCATATTTCAAAAATAAGAAGAGTTGTAAGTCGAAGTTCTCCGAGTTTGTAGAACACCTGAGCAGTGTTCAGATCTAAAAGGCACTTTTAAATTTCTACTATTAATTCCCTCCATTTTATTATTTTATTCCTATATAATAATAATCATGTACTCGGGCTGCCTGTGGCTTTTTGGGGCTCATACACATGGATATAGAAAACTAATAGGGCAGATGTGAGACGTAGGCTATTTTTGAGTTCTTTCAGTGCTCATCAGGCAGAGGATGTACAGCGCAGCAATCCCTTGTATAGAAAAAATACAAAGAACTCCACTGTTTGTTGTTTATACTTTATTCTCCCTTTGCAAAAGTGATAGTAAGCGTGCTTGAGTCTGTTTTTGAGCCATTATGTTGTTTTCAGCTCCTACTTTTGTTTGTCCTTTACTACATTCAGCAGGCCCCTTGAGATTCGCTATGGAGGAGGCTCCACTCTCACTGCATGCTTGTTGCACTAAAGCTCAGCTGCTCAATAAAAATAATATTTTATACTGTGGGGATCCTAATGGTCCTCCTTTCAGAAAAGAATGAATGGCAGTATGCAATTTTGTTTACCTGTATCCAATTTAAACAAGATTTATCTGTTTAGTAGCTGCAGCCCTAAG